TAATTGCAGCATTTATCTTAATTATTTTCAAAAGAAAGGAGTTGTAAATGATTTGACATAGTTTTCTTGATTGGTTAAAAATGATGTTTTGCTTCATGCATGACTTTTAGCTTGTTGTTTTAACTTGCATTATGCTCCTGCAGCACAATTTAGTCTCAATATGAATAAAGTTGAACATGCTTATTGTGATTTTTGCATGTTGTGTTTAGGTGTAGAAGTTGTGATATTGGTAAGCTTAGTCTAGCAAATACTTGCTGGGTTGTATTGCTACACTAAACATTTGACTGGATTTCTTTTTAAGAACAAAAGAATACAGTCATTGAAGAGTATCGAGATGCTACAGATGTCAGTGACAGTCCAGTTTTTCGAGTTTATGTCAACCGCATGGCAAGTGACTTTTCCAATGACATTTTGGGAATTTACAAAAATCACAGTAGTAAGTTGTGTGCTTGGATCAGTGTAAAGTTTGAAAACAAAACTTCAGTTGGCAGTGGTCATATGCGAGGATTTTTCAGCCTAGTAATGAAAATGATTCTTGATGTTTTTCCATTGGATGGTGAAGAAAGACCCAACACTTTTGTTTTTGAAGGAGAAAATGACCATAAAGTTCTTGTAGCCAACTCACTATTGAGAAGTACAGGATAAGTAACATCATAAGTAACATGATATTTACGTCTGTGCACTGCTCTAAGAGACAAAGCACGAAACAATGTACCCTGTGGATCAACTCTTCGCATCATTTCACGAATCCTGTCCTGCTGAATTCGCAAACCTCTTGCTAACAGCAATCCTGATAAACGTTTGTAGCCAAGATTGTTAAACTCGTTCGTTAAGTTTCTTATGACCAACTCGAGATCTGAATCGTTAACGTCAGAATAACAATTAGAAACTGATAAACCAAACTCATTCATCCTCCTTTCAATGGTTCTTTTGCTGACTTCCAGAAGATTTGCCGTATCTTTCACTGTAAAACGCTTATCCAAAAAATAACGCAGAATATCTTCGTTTACTTCATACATTGGTCGCCCTGGTGTGCCACTGAAAACTTGAGGGCAGTTCAATGAAGAAGATGGATTAATATCATGACGAACATTGACATTTAAAAGTTCTATTGCGTTTGAGATTAACTGCAGAACAGCCTCTTCAAGTTTGAATACTTCAGCAAATCGCAACGTAGTATGGTAAAGAGAATCAATACGAAAAACGCAAAAATCCCGATCTGGACTTCCTTCGAGGTCAGCAATACAACCCAAAATAGAGTTGCGAAGGAGTCTTACAAAGTATAACCTGTCTGCCATGTTTTAGGGTTGTAGACTTGTACGTAAAACAATTAGTTAATTTTGTTTTCATTATTACCGCATGACAAAAATAAATTATAAATAAATTATAATGTGATCGAGCAAAATTTGATGTTTTGTGCATTGAGTTCTATAATAACTGGAGCGGCTATCTCAAACGCGGCCTTAGATATCTGATCACGCCAAAAAAATGGCGGATTTAGTCCGTTGCCGCTGAGATTTACCGAAATTGACCGCTTTTCCGAAAATTTCACAATTTCCCACTCCCTCCTGAGGAAAGAGTGAGGGAAATGTATGTGTGTATTTGGGATTCGGCAAGCAATTTTTTGATGAAAATCAAGGTAAAAACTTTAAATTCATAACAGCGAGTCAACTGTGGTTGTCAGTTATCTGTTCCTACGAGAATGCATTTATAACTATCGACGAAAGAGCTATATGTCGGCTACACATGTATGAATGCAGATGTTCGTCGTTTTCTTACCAGCGTCAAACTTGTTTGATCGATTTAACTCTTTAGTCTATACAAAAAAGTATATCATAGTTCATGTCCAGGGTTCACGAGAGAGAAGTTAGCTTGTTTGTTATCATTGCTGTTTTGCTTCTTTTCATGCAATGGGCAATGGCTTTCTTCGCCACAATTGTAGGATGTATACTTGTTTCTTTAAAAAAGTACATAATAAATTTCTGGATATTTACGGATTTTCTGTAATTGAGTTTCATATTAAATTTCAAAAAGACTCAAGTCTGCATAGGTTTGGTAAATGAAAACAAACAATATTGTATAGAAATTACTTTAAGTAACCTTTTTATGATGTTCTGAAGTGCAACTGCATCAAATACTTGTAAAGTTGTAGCACATTTTGATTTTGTTGTATTGATATATGAATTGGGCAAAATGCAAATAATCATCAAAACATTTATGCTTCCAATGGTGTTTATAATTCATTTTTAGTTTTAATCTTGTACCCTTCTTTTTCACTTTGTTTTGTTTTTCCTATATTTGCAATATAAGTGCACAATTTGAATGATTAACACAATTTTCACCTCAAAAATAAATTTCATAAGCAGTTGGTAGTGCATTTTGTTCTCTGAGTATCCACATCTGGTGTTTTGTTCATACAAGAATGATGAAGTGGAAGTAGATATGTCATAGCAAGGCAATAAAACCAAATGAATTACATACCTATAGTGTACTTTTATGCTAGAAGCTTGAAAGCTTTTTAGAAATTATAAAGTTATTGGATTATATTACCTCTATATCATCAATCTCATGAAAAGAAATAAGAAGCAAAAAATTTGTAGAAAAGCTTTGAAAAGTGAAAAACTTTTCTTTAAAAAAGCAGCAATAATGCATATGATAAATCTCCATTCTGTACTCTAATAGGTAAATAAGCTCAAACTGTTTCTTAAAGAAACATAAGAAATATATACGAAATATACAGTACAGTAACTCTAAAGGTTTCATTACTGAATCTTTAATGTTTCAGTATAGTGCATTAGATATTAGTAACATTTAAACAACACTCAACCAAAATATTTTGATAAATATATGACATGATTTAAACATTAAGTTATATAAAACCCAATGGCTTATACAGTTTGATGCTTCACATCTGCATCGAGTCATCATCAATCTCAGTACAAATGTTTACATAGACACAAACTTTATGGCCTTCCCCTTTTATATGTTTGTGAATTGACATTTCATTAAGCATCAAAACACACAAAACCTTCTTGCCATCTTTCTTTGGTTCATGAACTTTAACTTCAAAGCATTCAAGGCATCCTTAGTGAATCCTTTGTCTCCATCCAAAGAATTTGACCATGATCAAATTAAATAACTCTGGATAGGGCAGACAATAAATCACAACAAAATGTGTGCAGGGTCTTTTTTGGTTTAGGGAAACTATTTTGCAAATAGATGGGTAATTTAACGATTTCATGCATTAAGAAATGACTGAAAAGTATGCAGAATTTTCTAAACAAAAACAGGAAAACATCATTATATTTGGCGTTAAAGTCAGTCTAAAAAAATACGATCTTTAATATGTATTTTTAAAATACAATTTTATGGCTTTTCAAGTGCATGTATAATCGCTTTTCAATCGTTGACGGACTAAAAAAACAAGCAACTATCTCACCTGTGAGAAGCGATATGTTCCTTTTGTGTAAACTACGGCTTCCAACAATTGAACGATTGTAGTGTTGGCATTATAAAAGAAATGCCAAAAAAGATATCATCACAGAATATGGAACTAACGATATCCATATTCTGTGATATCGTGTTTGTTTTTGAAAAACTCTTTATAATTTACTATGGACACCAGGGGGAGGTCGAGAATATTATTTTTCTACAAAGCGATCATTTCAGCGGAAATACGTCCGTTGGCCGCCATTTTTTTGGCGTCCTCGCCCCAGTAAAGTTAGCCGCTTATTGTAGAACTCGCACCTCGCCAGTTATTGTAGAACTCGATGGTTTTGCGAGTCACGAATAATGTTACGTCATCATAATGGAATCGTGTTTCGACTTTATTCCAAAGCCATCATCAGAGTATATACATAATATATTAATCCTAACGCGGTTTTTAATATGCACATGAAAAACATGTGACTTGGACGAGATTTGAACTCGCACCTTCGGGATACTAGTCCGCCGCTCTAGTTGTTGCGCTACCAAGCCCACAGAGATTGGAGACGAGTCAAATCTCTTTTAAATTGCGTATGGAAGAGAGATTCTCGCCACTATAACAGTTTACTGGATGGCACCGTGTTTCGACTTTATTCCAAAGCCATCGTCAGAGTATATACATAATATATTAATCCTAAAACGGTATCCCGAAGGTGCGAGTTCAAATCTCGTTCAAGTCACATGTTTCTCATGTGCATATTAAAAACCGTGTTAGGATAATATATTTGCATAATGGAATCTTCAACAACAAAATGCGTTTTAACGGAAAATGTACAGGACAAAATCCGATTGTGAAATTCCAGAATTGAATATGATCAAGAACAAATGCACAATGCAAAGGAAAAAATGCGCATTAGTAATTGGAAAATGTAGCTATTAATTTTGGCGGAAATCACCCTCCATATTGATTTGTCATACATGTTCGGTCTATCTTCATGGCAATGCTTCAGTAAACTTATAATGTCTGTAATGCAGTTTCATAACCTTCTTTGCATTTTGTAAATTACTTTTCTTTTAGAACTTGGATTTGAACTTGTTTTGAAATCATAGAAGCTTTCCTCCTACTCTTTTTTAATGCATTAAGATAAATTTTTGATAATAGAAAGCACATGCAGATTTTCATTGAAGTCAATGTTAAGAAATGTAAAATGAAACACAAACTTTAATCGTGGTAACAAAATTGACTATAATTCAAAAGTCGCTTATAGCATTAGGAATATGAGTTTAATTTGGGATAAAAACATCTGAACATCGATTTGTCATGCATGTTCAGTTTATCTTCATGGCGATGCTTCAGTAAACTTGTAATGTCAGAAATGCAGTTTCGAAATCTCGTTTGTATTTTTTAAATTACACTAGTTTTAGAATTTGGACTTTAAAACTTCAGTCAAAGTGACTGCATGCTTAATCTTTTCATTTATCACTGACACACACCCGATAAAAAGTGAAAGATAAAATAAAAGCAACACCAACCAAATGAATAGCAGGTGAATAATTGCGATTAAACTTCATACCTTAATTCAGTATCAATTTCTTTTGATCCATGTGAGTTTCGTTGCATAAGCGCATTCGGATAACGAACAAAGATAAAGCAAAGTAAAACTTTCCTTCACCAAACTGCTTCATCAACATTAATGACTTCCACGTAGAACATCTCAGTTATATAATTAAGTATACATCACTGACTAACAACAATTATCATTTAAATAAAAATACATAACTAAGGACCTCATGCAGAGTGCATGATAACATTGGGACTAGCCAAATGCTGAAAAACGAGTGCATTGATACAAAAAATTGAGACATTTTTACTTTTTACTTAATTTTTGCCTCAAGCTTAATTCTTTTATGCTCAGATATCAGCGACATATTCTCTCAGATATAGGCAATTGAGCCATGTTCGTTGTCTGATACAAAAGCATATTTTATCAGTGCTATTGTGAGCACCAAACAACAAGAGCCGGCGATATTGTTTACAAGTCTCAAGTGAATGGCGGTGAGTCAAACTTTAGTATATCATAATCCTTGTCTTAAATACCAAAGTCTTTGTCAAGGAAATTGTCGACGAAGAAATTGTCATCATTCACTTTGATAGTTGCACCAGTTGGGAAATCAAAATCTTCCATAATCTTTATTGCACAATTGATGCCTGAAGCTAAATTTAAAAACAATTACAAAATGGTGGCTGGTGTTCAATACATGATGTCTTCATGAAAGAAATTTTATGTACAGCGTTTTTTTCAATATCCCTACAGACATCATCAACTTTTCTAATGCTACTTGTTGGCCTTTCATCACTGCCCCACATTTCAGCATGATATTTTGTCACCCCAAATCAGCCAAAACTGGGCCATGTTGTTGTAACATTAGAAGTTTTTTCACTTCTTTTACTCTTTATTAAACGAATTTTCAAATTATTCCTCAAAGCAAAAATTGCCAGACTTATCATCATGAAAATTAAATGCTGTTTTAACGGTTCGATACTTCATTGAAGCATTTGGTTCAGCTTCTTGTCACTCTTGTTGGATAATGGAGCTAATACATATAAAAAAAATGTATTGGTTGGGTTTGTCATAACTTGTGGTAAAAGAAAATTTTGGTGGATCTTCATCCTCCTCATTTTTAAAGTATTTCATCGCTTACTAATCTATTTTCTCACCAAAACTCAATGTGTTATCTTAATTTGGCAACTTTTGATTAAATGAAAAACTTTTTGTCTGGAATTTGTAAAAGCAATGTCTATCATCCAGCAGAGTATTTCCATCAGTTCAGTAAAAAAACTGGAATAACAAAATTCTACACAGACATTGGAAAACAAATTTTGCTTTTCAAAATAATCATGTCAGACCACAGGCAAGATACCACATACAACCTCCACAAAGCAATGCATTCATGATTTTGCTCTAAATTCACCATCTTTCATATTGCTTCACTATTAACATTATCATCAGAAAAGATTTAGAAATGGCCATATTACCCACTCCGACGAAGCGCACTTCGGCAAACGGATGTCTTGCTGCTAAAACATTTTTGGTAGAATGCTTATAGTCAAAGCAACTCTCCAGATTGCAAATTTAGTAAGCTATCTAGTTGAAAAAACTACTAGACCCCTAACAATCAAAAGTTCTTTTTGTATTACTTAAACACGGCATGCGTGCAACAAACACGAAAGATGATTTTATATTATCTAATATTTCCTATTTTAACTTTAGCTTATGTGACGCTATGGAACATTAAGACTATGAACATTAATTTAGGAAATGATTTGGTACATTTACATAAAAACATTTAACAGATTTGCAAGCTTCTGCAAAGATGAAAAATAGAGCTATTTTTTCTCTTCCACAACGCTAAAACACCTAAAATATAAGATGTTTCAAGAAAGGGCTCAGTACGACCCTCTCATGCAGTGTTTGCTTTGACTAAGAAAAATCCAATAAAAACAAACTGTTTCCTTTGATTTAGGGCCCATTCACACTAACACTTTAAATCGATTCGAAATCGATTGGAGTCCGTATGATGGCTAATGTGAACACTTGCAAGTGATGCGAAAAAGAATTCGATCCGAACTAATTTGGGCCACTTGAGAAGGTGGTCTCAAATCGGATTAGTTTAGTCTGCATGATAATGTGAACATGCAACACGAATAGAATCAGGTCAATCTTGATCAAGCATATGTTTTTGATTTAGTAAGTAGACTTTTCATGCGATCACACATGTCACGCGTTGTTTTTACTGTGTTTGCTTGCAGCAATATTTTACAGTTCTACTTATAAGTAAAAAGTAACTCGACGCGCCTTGCATTCGTTTGAAAGTATTGCAGCATTTTTTTTCGTATCACTCTCGATCTTTTGGCTGTTTTTTGCGTTCTTTTGGTATTCTCGTAAAGGTATGCCTCTTGCAGTAATCTCCGCCGTTTATATTCGCTAAATATTGTTATTATCAAATATTCAAAGATAGTATAAGAAAGGCACAAAAAATTTAATGTCAATCATTTAAAGCAAATGTAAACATTAATTTTACTTAAACTATAGATACTAAAGTATGTACCCACAATACCCTATAATTACACTAAAACACCTGCTGACCCATATCTATCCTTTTGAGTTTCTTTTTATACTATGTTATCAAGCGAAAAATGATGCAGATAAAACCTTAACTGTGAACACTCGTACTTTTTCATTTTAAAACAAATCAAATTCGAATCCACTAATTCGATTAGCAAACAAATTAAGTGTGAATGGGCCCTTAATCAGTCAATAAGTGATATTATCTTTTTGTGGTTTTCATATCAACCATGCAGGTGTCTCAACAAAAAATATCATAATATTTTATTGTTATCAACCGACATGGTGGATCATTTTCCCGTAAGTTAAACATGAAAAACATGAATACGATTCAAATGTTGTACAGGTATTGTGGTTGTATTCTTTCATATTACGACATTATTCAACAAAAATAAAGGTTATGCAATAACACATATCTGTGTAGATAATAACATGTTTACATTTTATATAAATTTTTACATGTTTAAAAAAAGTAAACGATAATTGATATACAGAAGTATAGTCAGAAAAATTAAATATAGTTACAATTAATAATTGACGGTCTCATACGTTATTAAGACTCGTACACAACATACATCATACGAAATTACAATCTAGAGAATTACGCTTAGTTACAAGACTTTAAAATAAAAATTATGTGCAACAAATAACGTTAAGAATGACTACTTATGTTGCTTTTCTAATTAAATTGAAGCAATTAATTGAAGTCTATAAGATTAAATTATGGCTCACGTTATTAAAGGAATATTTTAGAGACAAAAGAATTTGTTGAACAAGCCACAGCACTTTTTGTGACAGAAACATATATCACGACAAAATTCCAAATGAACGTTTAGCAACAAAAGATTTTATCGATTTCAATCATGACAATCTTCTCTTTTCAACAATAAGTCAGTATCATATTGCTTTTGCACCACGACCTCCATAAAGAAAAAGGTCTTCGCGCGTAATGTTGAAAGCCCACTCGATATTTATCATAAATGAGATGTAAAGTCTATTTTGACTTTCACCATTGTCGTTTGATGGTGTTTTTTTTTATGTTGTCAATGTGATTAATTTTCATCATAGTGAATATGTTATTTTGTTCGTCTTTCTAACATTTATAGCTAAGACCCAGCACAGCAAAATAAATTGTATTTGAAATTGTTAATTATCGTTAAATTGTTTATTTGATGTTTTTGAAGGTAAATTATTTGTAGTTTATGTAGTCACGAAATGAATATTTCCCTTGATGTCTTTTAATAAGTACATATTACATAGTTAAGGTTGTTAAATTGTAAGTATAGTTCTAAACGAATTGATCCTAATATTTCATTAACGCATTGGTAGGTAACAATACAAAAATTTAATCACAACACTTTTAGTCTACTTCTTTAAACATTTATTTAACAAAAAAAACATTAAATGATTCCGGTACTGATCAAAGTATATTTCAACAAAAACGAGCTAAAACCGAGTTACAAAAAAAACATTGTTTAAAAATCGACTTCAGCGGATGGTTTTGATGAAGATTTTTATAAGTTGTATTCCTCCTTCAGTTGTTTTACGGCCTCACTGAAGGTCACATTTTTCCAAATTGAAGGTATTTTTGCTTCCTTTGCTTCATAATGTTCCGCCAGTTGTTTCGAGAACTTTACCATAAACCACTGCCAATATTTAGAAGCTTCAAATGAGCGATCTGGAGGAATTTTCCACGATTTGTAGTAATCGTTTACTGACTGATAATTTTTGTAGAGATGCGGTTTCCAATTCGTGTCAATGTTATTAAATGTGTCATTTCCAGATACAAGAAAAGTACAAATATCGGAAGCCAAAATCGCAGTTCGGACATCGCGATAACCTGCCAAACCCAGAGGACGGTGTATTTTGGTCGAGTATTGTTGATGTATTTCTGTCACGTTTTCACCATCGTCTGAATGTTTTGATTGCTCCACAGTCTGATCACACAAAGCTTTACAAAATGGACAAACAGCCTGACACCCAAACAGTAATTTTGAACGCCTTTCGTCGGGTGCTGGCTGCCAATTACTAAGAGTTTCACTATCCAATTTAGCATCAGTAAGGGATTGCACAAAGTTTTCGACCAACTCACGAACTTTTGCGTCAAATAAATCAGTTTCTTTTAAATCTTCATCCATTGTAGCGACACCAAACATTTCTGTCGTAATGGCAAGAAAAGAACACTGTTCCACAAACTTTTTAATCCAATTCGTTACTTTCCAACTCTCGCTTCCTTGTTCGATTTCATGTCTAGCTTGCTCATTTGCGTCTTCAATGGCAGAAAAAATATTTGACTTCAGCTTCTCTCCTTCATCTTTTAACAGAGATTGCACCAGTTTCGATCCTGTGTTCAAGCAAAAGTCTTCCACGTATTCCTTTAATTTTTTTTCCAAAAATTGAATAGGATTCTTCAAATACGGAACAAACAATTCAAAACTAGGGTTTTCTCCAAGTTGAATCAAAACACTGGCATGAAAGTGAGCCTTGCTTAGAAACATGCTCTTCGTCGAAAGTTTAGTATCAATTACTGTTACAATGCCTTTGTTAAGTTCTGACATTATAGGCTCACGAAGCACATCAACCAATGACGTGGCAGCCAAAACTTCTTTCTCCATCTCTTTGCAAAGGTTGATAAAATACTTTTCCAGCCTTGGTCTTAAAGTATTTTCAAGATTACGTCGAATATCACGCTCTTCAACATAAAGCTCTTCCATTTTATCAAAAATAGGAAAGGCACGGGCAAATGTGTATAACAGTATGTCACATACCAATGGTTTTTTAAACTTCATGTTTTGTTTCTCTGTTTCTTTATCAATGGTAGAAATGATTTCATCATACATTGTTATAAGATCATTTTCAGTAAATCTAACAGCAATGTTGGAAACTCTCTCTGCAAACTGCTTTCCTTGAGAGATAACTTTATTTTTGATATCATATGCCCTTGACACACCATCGTCTATGATAAAAGTATACATGGATTTGGACCAATTTCGAATTAAACCCTCCCGTAAATGAAAGCATATTTCTATCAATGACAGGATCAGCATTAAAAAGCAGAAATTCTATACTTTTTGGTTCTAGTTTCGTTAACATCTCAGCACTAAGATCAGAATTTTCTGGTAGAAGAACATCAACCATATATTCATTGACATCACGCTTTACTTCCTCACAATTAGGAACTTCGCTAATCCATTGTTTCTATCCTTTTTGAAATGCTGCTTTACATTCTTCTTCGTCATTTATTTTTTGAGTTGACACTAAGTTTTTTGCTTTGTCCAGAAGTTGTTTTTCATAATTTTTTTTCATTTCTTCAACATCTTGTTGTTGCTGCAGATGGTGGAAGGTTGCCTCACAATTTTCTATAACAGACGCTTCCTGATTTCGTTTGTATCTTTTAATTTTAACCATCACGTGTTCTTTCCATTGTTCAAGGGTAGATTTATCTTCACTGCTTTCAAAAAACGTCTGCATTTCTTTCTCCATTTTTGTCTTGAGTTCTTCTGCCTTTGCAAATATACGTTTTTACTGCTCATCCAACATTCCTTTCGTTCTTCTCGTGTAGTGCATCTTTTCAAGTCTCTTTCAATACTTCTCTCAATTTCATCCATTCCATTTACCATTAGTTTTACTAATTCTTTGAAAAGTTTTTTGTCTAATGATGCATAAGCTCTGATTTCGATCACATTTCGGAAACTGAAAATGAAGTTTTCCTTTAGCATGGCTTGCCATAGATCTTTAACTCGTTTACGGAATGAAGATACAGTTAGCTTGACCACTTCTTTTGAGCACATTAGTTGAATAATATTCTCCTTTACTTTTTGCAAGTCTCTACCATAATTTGGGTTTATCGGAGCCATGGGAGGACTTCCTTTCAATAGACTCGGTATGTAAATACGTCTTTATTTTCATCAAATGCAATGATGTCATCTAACTTTTGAAACTGATCTTCACAATTTTCTTGTATTGCTGCAAGCCTTGCCATATGGTCTAGATTTTGCTTTAGATTTCGCCTATCCATCATTAACTTATCTGCAGCGTCATTAGCAGCAACATTTTGATGGACGATCTTGCATGATTTCTTGTCTTTCACAAGTTTCATTTTGAAAAAAGCATGAACAGCCATCGCCAAAAATTCTTTCATTTCATTGTAGTTTTCACCAAAGATATTGACAATCGTGACATCAGCCACACCAACAGCAAAGTTGCCAATTCATTATCGTGTTCTCTCACTTTTGGGTCAGCCATTCCTTTCAGACCTTCAGTATCGATGATCAACACATAATCAAAATTTGAGTCACATTTAAGTTGATGACTAAGTGGAACAAGACTAGCAAAAGCACCACGAGTACATCTTCCTGCACTTACAGGAAACTGTAAGCCAAACATTGTATTTAACATTGTCGATTTACCGGAACTTTGAATACCTAACACAGAAATGACGTAAATGCTAGCGTTATTTGTTCGCTTTTCTAATTCTTCATAAACATCATTAAACCATTTCATTGGTATGTAACTTGAATTACCATCCAGCAATTCCAAAGGCTCTCCGGAAAGAAGAATTTTTGCTGCAGCACCTGCATAATCATTCACTGGAATATCAGGAAGCTGATAAAGTTGGGCAACCTCTCTAATGATATGCTCCAAACCAAATGAAGACTTTAATATCAATTCTTCAAGTTCATTTAAATTCTTTTCTTCCTCGGTTTGTGAATCTGGCTTATCATTGTGCATATTTTTGGTAGGTTCTTTAACAGAAAGTAATGCCCGACGATATTTTTGATGTAAATCTGTCATCACAGATAGAGAAGCTTTGTCTAATAAATACTTCAAATGATGCAAATTTCTATTAAGTTCCCGTTCATTCATTGCAGTTATTGAATTAAGAAAGTTAATAACATCTTTGTTCATACTATTGAAAGAGTCAATCTGAGCCTTTTTTTCATTTTCCCGTTCTTTGTACAATTCATTGACAACGTCTTTATTAGTGGGACGAAATTTTGGATTATGTATCTTTTTTTCTAAATCTGCTAAAGTTGGTACATGACCTTGTAGCTTAAACAGGTTTTTTGCATTTTGAATCCCATCAGAAATCCAAGTTTCCACAATTTTTTCTAATTTGGCATAAGCTGGGTCGTCATCAAAGTAAACACCAATTTCCTTTGAGTGGCATTTGAAATTTGCTAAAGATTTCAGTGTACTTTCTTGCTTGTTAATGTCTTCAGCCTTTTTTATATTGCTTTGTATAACCTTGCGAATATAATTGAAAAATTCATATTCATTTGATTTAGATGCTTTTGTACAGGAAGACAATTTTGTTCGATGATACTTGTCTAAGTCTTTGTAGTACTTCACTTCTTTTTGCCTTTTTTCGTTAAAAATCAGCAGTGTTTTACCTTCAGACATTATAGCTTCATTCAAAAAATTTTTCATGCGTTCGTCAGGCATTTTCGACGGCAATAAAATACACAAAATGTTTGATATCTCTCGAAGTACATTAACTTGCTTCTTGAAACTCCGAGCATTGCCGCGTAAATTGGTAAAACAAATTTCATTTTGCAAAGAGTTCTTCTTGTTTACACCAGGAAGATACCACACAAGTTCAACTAAACCTTCCACGACTTTCCTTTCCACATCACCACCATTGATGTTTTTATGAAAAAAGAAATCATGATCACCATTACCATCACTGATAATCTTGTTCATTAGGGACGATTTGGACATGGTCACATTACCCAGCCGGATAAAAGACACTACAGGAAACGGATGTTCAGTTGCGTAAACAACTTTAACAGAATCTTCGGAAGTGGCATCTTTCCAAGATTTTGTTATTTTTTCCAACGCTGAAAGCAAGACAGTTGGGTTTTTTGCTGGATTATCAGGATAAGGTAAAATGAAAGGAACGCTAAGCTGACATACACTAAGTTTAACAGCTAGATCCCGTCGCAAGAAATCGTCTGAACTATAGAAAAGTCCTATCAAAGCATCCATAGGGTTAATTCCTTCCACAGCTTCACTTTCGTTATCACTATCACTATCATCGGAATCATCTTCATCTTCAAAACTTTTATTTTCGACTTTATTGGATTCAATCTCATCTTCCTCCTGGTCATCACTATCACTTACATCAGTACCATCATTTGATTTGATATTAACTTTATTTTTTTTTAATGGTTCCAGTTTAAATTCACGTGCATGGTGATTAGCCATCATTAACATTTTAAGAATATAACTGGGAATTTGGTCATGAGAAGTCAGTTCGTCGTCAGTAAACGTTGCAACAGTACGTGCATGTTTTAATGTAAGTTTTGTTTTAAGACCTAAACGTTCGCATAGTTGAGATAATGTCTTTTGTTTTGTGTTATGAGAGGTCTTTTCAGTTTTATTGGGAGTTACACCAAATTCGAAATCCTGACGAAATTCTTTTGGGCCTAATTGAAAAAAAACACATAGAATGACCTCCAAAAATTTATTTGTTATATTTATAATTTTTGTACTACACAGCACACGCCTTACAAATAAAGACTTGGATTAATTTTACCCATAATTTAGGTATACCTGTGCTATTGTGTGTTCAAAATCAACCAAAAATTTTAAATAGCTCAAAGCAAGGCGATACTGTATACTGCGACAAGAAAGCAAAACTTTATGCCACAGTTTGACACTGTTTCAAGGAACCCAAACCATCAAAATAATAATTTGATCTATCTAAGATAAACAAAGGCATTTGGGAAAACAATTTCAGGAAGATATAAGTCAAACTAAATATCGTAAGCTATTGGCCGTGAAAAAGAGAATTTGGCTTCAACAAGTTTACATCATTGCATGTCCATCTTTTGACCCCATGTGCTCCAATTGCTGTTTAGCTTCGTCATTCTTGTGCGCAACCTTTTTCCAAAGTGCAAATCTTTTCGTCCCACAAATTTTTTGCAAAGTTTTTCAATCCAGCTTAATGCGATAGATATTTGCAGCCGCAGCTACAAATAAATCTAGTGCGCCTTGATATGCTACCCTCAAATGTTAGCTAGTGTAGTTTGCGGTAATCGTCGTCGAAAATACTATTCCATTCAAGGCACAAACATTCTCTTTCATTTCAGCTTTAAGCTGCTTACGTTCATATAGATAAGAGTCACTGGTTTCAAATTTTACAAACACGCTTAAATGGCTTAATTTACACAGCGAAAGTGCGAAATTCTCACTAGGGTTACAAGATGCTATTTAGGGGGAATCTTTCCATGTTTTTGCCGGTTTCGTTATAACACTGACGATTTAGCGTACATCGAATATGAATCTATTATTGCTATATTCATGCCTTAATCAACAATTTTTCTAGACTATACTATCATGTTTATTCGTTTCCTTGGTTTTGTTCTGTCTTTTTTGAGAATTGTTGCTACTGTTAACCAAAGTTGTCCAAGTAAATTGATGTGAAGTGCTAATGAAGTATCCATATCTCCTTTTCACAATCCACTTGCATTGGCTTTGCACGTAGTTTAAAAAGGCCAGTTTTCGTGTCGGTTATAAAACAAGACACTCTAGCACTAGCTAGGATACCGAATTTACAAAATTACCGCGATTACAAAAACAATGTCGTAGTCTGTTTAGAAAAATATACGAAAAACAGAATGTCGATTGGATAAAATGCAAAAAGAACAACCAGAAATAGTGTTACAAATCGCATTGCTCACAGAAGTTGTCTTGGATAGCATAAAATCGAATACCTACTTCAAAAGATTGCGAGAAAAGACATCTGCCATGATGTCTTTTATGTTACTAGCATTTCCCAAGGATGCGGCAAAAACAAAAGCCATTTCCAATGAAAGCCATTTTCTGGGAAATCAAAAGTCTTCTACCGTTAACTTAGTTTTTTAAAATATGAAGACGTTTGTGCAAAACCATTTGAATGGCTTTATTTGCAGTCAAATTCACCCACGATATTTTGGATGTCTGCTTTGACGTAATGTTGAGAATGACGAAGAAAGCTAAAATCCTTATTTTTGTAAAGGTCATGAGAACTATTATTCTCAGAACGTAGTGTTTCTGCACAAAATTGAGGGAAAAACAGCTAATGTACATCGCGCATTAAGTCCAACTTCAAAATATCCTGCATGTTAGAATAAAAAGCGTCTCCCTCGAAGTGTTTACTACTGAATCAGCTCTTGAAAATGGTTGTCGACTGAAAAGAAACGCCATTTAAAGAGATAAATTTAGAAATCGACAAGTCCTTGCGGCTCTCGGATAAACATAGCCGAAATAAAAAGATGTTTGAATGTGGAGCCCGGGGAAAAAAACTTTGGCATAATGACCTTTTCCTGTCGTTTGGTAATTGGTAGGGTATGTCCCTTGATGGATACGACTAATATTACTTCCTTTGTTTACTCAATAATAATGACAGGAAAAACAGCGCTTGTATAGTATATTTCATAACCTCCGGTCGAAATATATAAGTATCAGTCTTAGTGTCATGGAGACCCTTTCATCTCACGGTGAATTTATCTGAGAGGTAAGCAATCGGATCTGGTCTCCAGCTTATGAAAGGTGCGAGTTAGTAAGTTGATCTCAAGGTGAAGAAATCGGTTTTACATTGATCAAACAAGGGATTAATGATGTTTGATCTAGCATCTAGTCGTTGCTACCCGAACAGAAAGAACTCAAGGAAGTCATAATCTGGGCGGCTGTTTCACTTGCCTGAAACACTATGACGAATATGTCTAACTTGATGCACCAAGTTAAACGATCCAGAGCAAGTTAAATGAGTTAAGGAGTATGTGCTCCTCTTATATGATTCATGTATGAACCGATGTAGTATGAAAGAATGTTATATGCAGTGCGGTGTTTGAAATTAAATGAAGATATGATCTTCGCACTTTTGCTGGACAATTTAAGCAATTGTCTCATGAACCTGAAAAATTCAGGTGACTCAACGGGACTCGAACCCATGACCTCGCATTCGTTGACTCAGGTTCATGAGACAATTCTTAAATTGTCCAGCAAAAGTGCGAAGATCATATCTTCATTTAATTTAAACCGATGTAGTGTTGCAAACGTTCAGCAACACAGTTAATGAGGAGTTCGTTTGCCAAAAGAGATTGAATTGCTAAAAAGGCCCCCTTTCAGTTCAAGAAAATCGATATGAAAACGTTTCTTTATAATATTTTAATTTTGTTTATTGTTTGCATCGAACAGACCCATGCATATGTAGCCTTGCTTTGATGCATCCGTAAAATATAATCTTTCTTATACGTGTTTCGAGGTAGATAAAAGTTGCAGTTCTATTAATTTATTTAATCGTAAAAAGTTGCTAAAGCAGTAATTAGACTTACCATCAATGTCCTTTTCTTTTTCCAAAAGAACGTTCTTCCTATTTTCTTGACCTATAAACATTTTTTGGAACTTTTTTCAATCCAGCTTGACGAAATGGGGATTTTTTTTTGCAGCAGCAACAAATAGTTTATCTGGTGCTCCTTGATATGCCACCCTCAAAATTCAGCCAGTGTTGTTTGCAGTAATTATCATCAATAACAAAATGGAATTTAAGGCACAAGAGTTTTTTTGTCTTTCATTTCAGCTTCAATCTGCTGATGTTCATATAAAGAATGAAAATCGTCGTTTTTTTTAAAATTTTACAAATACCTTTCATTCACTCTGCTAAAGTAGACACAAAATTGTAACCAGGTTTAAAATAATCCTTTTAAGGTGAGGTCTTCCCCGTCTTTTTACCGGTTTGACGTGAGACGTTGGCGATTTTACGTCAGTAGAATGTTAAACTTATAGCCAAGCCTAATTATAAAGTGTTCTATGACATTATTTTTATTCACTTCATCGTTTTTTCACTCTTTTTTTGACAGTCGTGTCGCTATTATTAACAAAATTTGTTGACTTTTCCGAACAAATGAATTATTGGGATGCAAAGATGTAACACTCACACCTCCCTAGCACAAACATCAAATGACTTTAAGCCAGGTGTACAATACAATCTAGCACGAAAAGCAATCTGGTATGTTTTTTACACCCCGATAAACTATCATATATTTTCTCGTTCATAACAAATGAAAACGTACCCGTTACATGATCATTGCTATCTTTTGAGGTGTTTACGTTTTCCTCTTTTTTCTTTTCTTCGTCAAAATCATTCAAATCATTTTTCTCCGTGGTTTGGTTAGACTCTTTCTCAACTAAAGACAAAAATTTTTTTTCTCACTTTATAAATTTTTCGTGAAACAGTGTTACACAATTTTCTCATGCAGCTTTTCCAGTAGCACAGACAGCGAAACATCAAAATATCTTCTCGTCAACACCGAAGAGAAAGAGTGGTATATGCAGAGCAACCTCGATTGCATGCAGTTAAAAACACCATTTCCAACATTACGATGTATAAAAGAAGGCAGATTCAGCCATTCGCCTCTGATAACATATAATACAATTTGAAGCGCAATACAGAAATGTATTTGCTTAAAGGGGGCTTCACAGACGGTGGCGGATCTAAGGTTTGTCAAAATAAGCTACTGCAGCTCATTTTGGAAAATATTTAGGTTAGAGGCAATAAATAAACTCAGATCTGTCGATGAAATGGTAAGTGAAACTAAAGCTCCTTGAAGAGCCTTGTGCGAAAATTGTTGGTATAATTTCGAAGCACGACCATAAGTGGGGACTGACGATGGCTACAAACTAGATTGTAGGAAAATAGAAGTTACAGCTTCCAATTGTGCGGTAGTAGTTGTTCGGGACGGTAAAGTGTAAACGTTCGCCGGGGCTAGCTCTTTGAATTTTGAAACCTGAAAACGCGACAAGGATCAGCTAGATGGTTATAAACACCTGAGATATGTTTGGCACGGAACAAAATGTTAAATTTTAAAGAAACTAGCAAGAGGCGACGAACAAATATCATCACTGTCGGGTTCCGAGAGGTAGATCTATTTATAATTTCGACCAATGCTGCGTTATCTGTGTGAAATAGTACGCGTTGATCACGCAAAAGGTGACCCCATAACAATACGCTTAGAACGATTGGGTAAAATTCCAAAAAAACGATGTTTAATTTTTTGCAGTGCTCAGGCCAGGGCTCGCAACACCAAAATTTACCGAAAATAGCTCCAAATCAAAAACTTGCAGAAGCGTCTGTGTGTAAATTCAAAACATTAGATGGAAGCCAATAGTCGGAAAGAAAAAATGACGGACCGATAAAATCATCTATAACTATAGAGCTATAAGTATATAGTCTGGGGGCGTAGTAAATGTTTTACCCATCCCTAATAAAATTTCAGACGTATTTTCGCAACACAGAAGTTAAAAATTTTAACAACTTTTCAATCTTCAAACTTTCTCGGTGAGCTGAGCTTCTGCTTAAAACTTATGAAATATTTTTTCATCTTGTCAATTAAACATCTTATCGTCCGCCGTCTTGTTAAAATTTACGTTATTTCTCTTACGTAGATAAAGCTACATACCATTCGCAGGCTCTTCTTCATTTTTTGTGAAATTCACACTTTCCTCAAATATTTTCCAAGAGAAAAACAAAACATAACTGTCTTAAATTTTTGGTCAAACACTCTTTTACGTCAATTCGTCAGATTTTGCTAAATTTTATTCTTAATGAGCCCGACTACTTTTTCTTTGGTTTTATCATAGTATTTATGACATTTAGTCTTTTCAACGGAAACATGTGAAGAACATTTCTTATGAATATCAAACATTGTATGAATATGAACAGATTTAACAATTGTTCAAGAGTCGTTGAAACTTGTTACATTAACAATACAACATTTTCAAGTGGGACAGACTGGCTTTTTAAAACCATAGCAATATGTTCGTGAAATGTCTGACAAATGCTTGAACTTACCAAATACCTTTTTAGATTCTTCCTCCTCATTTGCATGTTGATCTGACATTAAATTGTCTTGGAAAATATTTCGAGAACTAGAGTTAAAACTTTCTTTCAGTATGGCTTTCCAAAAACTTTTAACTCGTTCACGAAACGAAGAAACAGTAAGTTTGATCAATTTTTCTGAGCACATTAACTCAATTATACTTTCCTTTACTTTCTGCAAGGTAATACCATAATTTGGATTCACTGGAGCCATAGGGGGACCTCCTTTCAATAAATTTGGTATGTAAAACATGTCTTTGTTTTCGTCAAATGCAATGATGTCGTCCAACTTTTGAATCTGATCTTTACAGTTTTCTTGTACAGCTGCAAGCTTTGCCATTTTTTCTAGATCTTGCTTTAAATTTTGCCAATTCGCTGTAAAATTCTCCTCGGTGTTGGTAGCAGAAACATTTTGATAAACGATTTTGCAATTTTTTTTCTCTTTCAGCAGCTTCATTTTAAAAAAAGCGCGAACAACTATGTTTAAAAATTCTATTATTTCATTATGCTTTTCACCAAAGATATTGACAATCGTAACATCAGCCACACCAATAACAAAAGTTGTCAGTTCAATAGAATGTTCTCTCACTGTTGGATCAACCAGTCTTCTCAGTCTTCAGTATCGACGATCAATAAGAAGTCCAAGTTTGAGTCCAATTTAAGTCGATCACTAAGTGGTACAAGACAAACAAAAGCGCCACGAGTGCACTTTCTCCGACTTACAGGAAATTCCAAGCCAAACATTGCATTCAACATTGAAGACTTACCAGAACTTTGAATACCTATTACAGAAATCACGCAGATTCTAGCGTTATTTGTTTCGCGTTCCACTTCCTTATAAACAGCATCAAACCATTTTAAAGGTAGATAACCTGAATCACCATCTAGTAATTCCAAAGGAAGACCTGAAAGAAGAATCTTCGCACCAACACTGGCATAATTATTTCTTACAAAATCGGAGAGTTGATGAAGTTGAGCAAGCTCTCTAATTATATGCTCCAAACCAAATAAAGAGTATGATATCAATGCTTCTAAATCTTTCAAACGATTTTCTTCCTGAGATTGTGAATCAAACATGTCGTTATGTGTTTCTTGTAGCTTTAGACGATATTGGTGATGCAATTTTGCCATCGCAGATAGAGAAGCCTTATCAAATAAATACTTCAATCATTGCAAATTTCTGTTCAGCGTTCGTTCATCCATCACAGCAATGGAATTCAGGAAATGAAGAATTTCAGTATTCATCTTTTGAAATGATTCCATCTGAGCCTTCTTTTCTTTGTTTATATCTTCATATATTTCATTTACATCGTTTTCTCTTCTCGTGTTTTCATTGTTGGGACGAAACTTTGGACTATGTTTCTTTCTTTCTAAATCCGCCAGAACAGGTATATGAAGTTGAAGCTTGAACCACTTTTTTGTTTCTTCAATCCCAAAAGAAAGCTAAGTTTTGAAAGTTTTGTCCCACTCAACATAAGCTTGGTCATCATCAACATAAACTCCACTTTTCTTTGATAGTAACGTTTCTAAAGATTTCGCTTCTTTTTCTTTTATGTTGCTCTGGATTGCTTGGCGAATGCTTTTCAAAAATCTGTAATCGGATGTCATTAATGATTTAGTGAAGGAATATAATTTTGTTGAATGTTGATCGATCACGCTGTCGTAGTAATTTTTTACTTCTTTTCGTGTGTTTTCATTAAAAATGAGGATTATTTTACTTTTGGACGAAATAGCCTTTTCCAAAAAATTTTCCACATGTTTGTCAGGCGTTTCCGAGGACAGCAAAATGCACATAATGTTTGATATTTCACGAAGTATATTAACTTGCTTCTTAAAATTTTGGGCATTTCCACGTAGATTGGCAAAACAGATTTCATTTTTTAACATGTTCTTATCACATCCACCAGATAGATACCACACAAGTTCAATCAAACCATCAACGACTCTTCTTACAAAATCGCCACCTTCCATGTTTTTATGAAAAAAGAATTCATGATCTCCATTACCATCACTGATAATTTTATTCATCAGAGACGATTTGGACATGGTCACATTACCCATCCGGATAAATGACACTATGGGAAAGGGGTGTTCTGTTGCGTACACCTCTTTTGCCGAGTCGTTGATTGAGGCACCTCTCCAAGACTTTGTTATTTTTCCCAACGCTGAAAGCAAGATAGTTTGCTTCTCTATTGGATCATCAGGATCAGGTAAAATGAAAGGAACGCTAAGCTGACATACACTAAGTTTAACAACTATATATTGTCGTAAGAAATTGTCTGAACAATGGAGAATTCCAAACAAAGCATCCATTGGGTTGATTTCTTCCAAAGTAATTTCGCGCACATGGTAGTTGGCCATCATTAACATTTGAAGAATATATTTTGGAATTTGGTCATGTGAGGTCAGTTTATCCTCAGTAAACGTTTGCATATCCAAAGTGCGTGCATTTTTTACGGTAAATTTTGCCTTGTGTTTGAAACTTTGGGAAGGTGTGCCCGGTTCATTGGTTGGTGCATCACTTTCCAAAAAAGAAAGATGTGTTTTAACACCTAAATTAAATTAAAATAAATAAAACCACATTGCAAAAATGAATGTTGTCAGCAATGTTAGGTTTATATCATCAAAGCAATTTGTTTTACGGCAAACCAATGGGATCAATATCTTTGATTTACTTAACTTGCAACAGTTATCAATGGTGTAACCGATTTCATAACTGTTGGATGGGGAGAGGGGACAATTTTCATATATGAATGTTATATGATTTATGAAATATCCTTAAAATCAATGAATATAAGCCTCTTTCCCAAATTATCGAGTCTATCCACGCTATTGACATTTACTTTGAATATCAACCAGCATTCATCAATTATTCCGCAAATGTTGACGCAATTAGGCTCTCCTTACAAATAATCAAAAATTACATATGCGCAAAGTTGCAACATTCTTCATCTTTTTGCTTTATACTCTTACATATGAGAGTAAAGCAGTATTGACAATGCATATTTCATGAACACAACAAATTTTTTACAAAATATTTAGACATGTTGAGTTACGGCAACTCAAATAAGTTTAAATCAGAAAACTTGAACATTAAAAAAGGACATGTAATAAAAGTTGGCATAATATGAGGTAAAAGCACTAAAAGCACTATTGATTTGCGCATTTAACTAAAAGGACAATTTTCTTTAAAATAAACATGTTTCGACATGTCATGTTTACATAAAAGTATTATGATACATAAATTATAGCAATAATAAGGAAATAAGATAAATTAACGGGGAGCGTCCGAGCGTATTACAAACTAAATATTGTATTAAATTTAAAAACTTGAATCAGGGTTAGTTTTGTTAATGTGGAGTGTTTCTTTGACTTCAAGGGTGAATGAGGTGTCGGCAGTGTCGATGATTTTGAAGCAAGAGGGTGAATAGTTGGTTTTACATGAGTGAGATTAAATAAAGTGTCGGTAGATATAAGAGTTTTTGTCTGTTGGGGTATGTCCCTAATTTTGGTGAATAAATGGTGTGAAGTTTCGCCAAAATATCGGGAATTACATCCCGCGCAGTTGAATTCATATACCACCATAGATTTAATTGAATCAGGGATTGGGTCTTTGAATGAGGTTGAAAAGGTTTTTGATTTTGAATGATGCGAAAATTAGTCGAATGTCAGTATCTGTACAGAAGCGTTTCATAATGTTTGTAAGTCTGCGTTGTATGTGTCGTGAGTAATATCCGATGTATGGTACTTTGAAGTATAGAATTGTTATTTTGGAATTTTCATTTGTATTAGTCATGATCGTCGTGTCAGGAGTTTCAGTGTCTAGTTTGAGGTTGTTGCTTTGTTTGTTGTCAAGATATCGTTTTACGGTTCTGTTAATAAAGTGTAGTGGGAAAGAGTTTCGTAAAAGAGTGGATGTGATGTTTTTTATGTCTCGTTGAAAGCCGTTGTTCGTATTGTTAGGTTTGTATGATCTGTCGATTAGTGTGCGTATAAGTCCGGTTTTGTATGAAAGTGGTGTGAAAGTAGTGAAACTAAAATAGTTCATCAGAAATCCTGTGTATGTTGGTTTGTGATACGTTGATGTTGTACAGCTGTCATGGGATTTTGTTAGTAAAATGTCAAGAAATGGCAGTTGATCTTGTTGTTCAGTTTCAAATGAAAATCTAATGTTTACGTGTTATATGTTAATATAATTATAAAACTTCATGGCCTCAGTTTCGTTAGTAAAAACACAAAAATATCGTCAACGTATCCGCGGTAAAATAATGGTTTAGTGTCGATGTAGTTGTTTAGCCAGTTTCGTTCATGTGAACCCATGAAAATGTTAGCAAGTATGGGTTCTAAGGGAGAGCCGATCGCAACACAGTCTGGTCATAAAATTTTCCATTAAATAAAAAATGCGTCTGTGCTGTTGCTATTAAAAACAGTTTTCTAAAAACAATTCTCTTTTTAGAATACATCAACCATCAACACCCCAACATCACTTTTACCTCTGAGACGGATAATAATGGACGACTACCGTTTTTAGACATTGACATATACCGCTCAAACGACAAATTCACCACCTCTGTATATTGTAAACCCACATTCACGGGTCTTTTCACAAACTTTAAGAGCTTTATCCCACTTTCTTACAAACGCAACTTAATATCTGGCCTATTACACGGCTTTTTCAAATTCTGCTCTAGTTATGAGACTTTTCATGCCCAAATTGAAACTACCAGAAAACTACTCAAACTCAATTGCTATCCAACTAATATGTTCGAACACATTGTCCGTCGTTTCTTTGACACAAAATTCGTACAGAAACCACCTGTCCTTAGTGTCCCAAAGAAAATAGTGTATTTCTGTCTCCCAAGCACCGGCTGTCACTCGTTATAAATCCGCACACAAATCAATCGTCTCTACAACGCTGCTTTCCCTCATCTCAATTTCAGATCCGTCTTTCGTACCCCCACACGAATCTCTTCATTTTTTCCCGTTAAGGATAAAATTCCCAAGTCTCTGAGATCTGATGTTATTTATTTATACACGTGTCGATGCTGTTCCGCATCGTATGTGGGTCAAATCACACGCCACTTACACATCAGAATCTCGGAACAGTTGGGGACCTCTCCTTTGACTGGAAAACGCTATACGAACCCATTAATGTCAAGTATTCTTTCTCATAGTAACTCCTCCAACCACCCTGCTTCGCCAGACGATTTTAAAATCATCTCATCCTGCTCCGACACATTCGACCTCATGATCCACGAAGCCTCCTCATCTCCAAACTAAAACCTTCACTTAACACCCAAGGCAGCTCCATCCCTTTTAAGCTTTTCTAGTCTCAACACCTCACCCTAGCAATACATCACACAATACATCACATAACACTTACACATTCACAGTAGCCTGATGCCTTAAACTATGTAAATAGCTCTATATATATCTATATTCTTGTTAACTTCCTAATTGATCTGAAGATGTCTTGAGTGAAGACGAAACGTCACTCTTTTAATAAATTTCATAAAACCAAATTGTTTATGACTATGTTTAAAATTATTTGTTGGGCTCTAATATT